CCCCCAAAATTTTTGAGCAACAGGGGTCATGTGGCACATCAATAGAAAGGTATTGACCTCTCCTCTCAGGGGATTTTTAGATTTTGAAATTTGGATAATTTGGCCGCTTACAGCATCGAATTGAAAATCGCCCCAAAAAGGCCCGTAAATGCCCCATAACTCAAAAAAATGGGGGTTTAGGGAAAAAGTGCAAAGAGTAAAATGTTCTTATTTTTTGCCGTAGATTTCGAATCCAAAGTCAAAACATACCCTTCCTATTTGAAAATTTCGAGAAACGGGGGGGCTCCCCCCCAAAACCCCCCCAAGGGGCCATTTTGGGGGGCTGAAAATATTTTCATTCGATTCTTTGGGGTCGATTTACCCCATGAAAGTTTTGGTCCCGAAGCTCAATTCTCCGCCGTTTTTGAGAAAAAGATAGTGGACGGGTGGTCTGGATCACCCTGTATTTCTTCCAATTTCAGCATGATTTAAGTTTTTTCCATGGTTTTTGGAGTGTCTCACTTATTCAATGTCAGTTTGGTGACGCTGTTTTCCATCAAAACTTTTGGTGCAATATGCAAGGAATATGTGAGCAAGTATTTTTTTCTTACATCTACAAGTGGCCTCTCGATCTAACTTCAATGATTCGTTTGATTTTGTCACTGTGAATTGGCAGGAAAAATTAATAACAGCAAAATGTCAGTTTGGTGACGTCACCAAACCTGACACGTCCAGACCAAACTGACACGTCAGGCTTGAAAAAGAAAAATAATCGTAAAGATATTGCAATGCACGTAATTAAATCCTATAGTATGGAGCTCTAAGATAACAGAAAAGTAGTCTTTAGCCTGATATGGCCAAATCACGTTTCAACTTTTTTTCAGAACCATTTTCTCCCATTAGCTGAAATCCACCCATATATGTGTGTGTGTGTGAGGGTGTGCGTGTGTGAGGGTGTGCATGTGTGAGGGTGTGAGAGTGGGTGGGTGTGTGTGTGTGTGTGTGTGTGTGTGTACGTACAGTATGGGAGCCATCCAGGCAAGAGAAGTCAGTTTATTACATTTTGAAAGTTACACGTAAGTACAATCACAGACTTTTTGATGCCCAGACAGACACCATCATCAGTGAAAAAAAAAAACAATTACCAATTCAAAAATGATAGCATCGATAAGCAAAAAAATACAACAAAATGAAGAGCATTTTACAATTTTACAAAAGCCAAGAGAAGGAACGGTAATTGTGAGGTAATTGCGCTGACCTATAAAATCTCAGGTTTTGTTTATCAGATGCTGATAGGTGATAGGTGGTAAATGGAATTAGGAAATGTGACTATTCATGTGCTCCGTCGTGCAAAGCATCAACTACTTCTACAACAACAGCAACAATTATGAAGAAATATGGTTAGAACATCCTGTCATAGAGGGCGATCAGGCATTGCGTGTCAGATCTAAAATTTATGGTGCGATTTTTAGCTTTAATACAAATGGCTTCGTGAGTTCTCTCAACGGGTTCACGGACAAGAGGTTGGGGTTATTCAAAGTTAAATTTTTGTCCTGTGTCATGAATATGCTGGGGGAGTGCTGTTTTCTCATTCTTGTCGTATTTATGAGATTTAATTTGTTCTTGTATATACCTCTTTGTCTAGCCAATATACACACCAGGACAGTCTGAACAGTTGATTTGGTATACAACATTGAAAGCTTTTTTCACAGATTCTGAAGTTTTGAATTTTGTGAAAAGGGATTTTGATGTTTGCCCGTTAGAATAGACAGGTTTAATGTTGTAGGGCCTCAGCTTGTGGCTCAATTTCTCAGATAAAACTGGTATGTATGGAAATTTTACTACTTCACCTGGATCAAATGCAATGCCAACTTTACGGTTATTACTATGTATATGGCAATGCAAGGCTTTCATTATCTGTTTCTCTATTATACCCATCAGATAGCCATTCTTTAAGAACATATCTTTTACAAATGCTAGTTGTTCATGGCAATAACATTCATCAGTTAATTTAATAACTCTATTAACAACATTCAGGACTGTATTGATCTTATGTTGATGAGGAGATTCTGAAAAGAAATTGAGGTACCTTACAGAGTGCGTTTTCTTTTGGAACCATTTGCTGAGGATTTTTTTACCCTTTTTATGTTAATGTGAGATCTAGAAAATTAATTTGACTATTTTCCTCCTCCATGGTGAATTTCAATGAGGGATAGAACGCATTAAACTTATCAAGCCATTTTTAGGTGTCATTTTTGTGAAGGCATGCTAAAGAATCATCTAAAAAAGTTTGTAAAATTTAAGTCTTGCATCATTAGAACTATGTACCTCCATCTCAACATATTCCATCAAGAGGTCTTCAAAACAGGCATCGAAACGTATGCGGTTGTATTTATGTGTAACTTTCAAAATGTAATAAACATGCTTGTTTAAATTTGAAAAGTTCTCATGGCTGGATGGCTCCCATACTGTACATACTTAGGTAACAGTCAGTTCTTTACTTCATATACATATATATATATTCCCTCTTCTCTTTCCAGATTGATCCCAAGTACCGTTCAAAAATTGAAGGTATTGTTAGAAAAGCAAATAGAAGTACACCCAAGAAAGCTGAAAATATCTCAACACCTTGTCCGTATTGTAATTTTAATGTGCCTCAAACCCAACTAGAATGCCCACAATGTTCTCGAATCATCCCGTTTTGCATAGCAAGTGTAAGTAACTATTTTCATCGTATGAACCCCAATTCTAATCATTAAACTCGAATAGGAATCATTTATTAAGACTCATTTCTTTTAAACGTTTAAGAGAGTATACTTTGAACTTCATGTCTACAGTCAGTCTGTTGTCAAGACAGGAAGTAGTTTCAATTGCAAGGAGTGTGCAATAGTTGCTGAGAACTCTTACAGCAGTTGCACGGTCAAGACTGCGTCTTTTACATTCGCCCTAAAAGTGATACTCTGTGGCTGGACGAAAAGAGAAGGCAAAGAATAAAGTTCTCTGTCCACAGACCGTTCCGTGGCTCGATCTTCAAAAGTAGATTGACTATTCTTACTCACTTGTCAACAGCACATCAGGGGTGCAGGAAGTATGGGATTATAGGTCTCATTCATAAAGACAGGGGTGATCAGGAAAGCCACAACTAGACATGTGAGACGGTCCACTTCAGTAACGGATTTAGTTTTGATGTATACGTCGATCATCAAAGTGACAAATGATGATCTAAATAATGGATGTTGATGGAATAATTGATGATCATCAGAATCATTGATGTCCAGCTATAATCAAAGAAATCGATGATCATTGGAAAAAGCGCCGATCACTGAAAAAACTGCTGGTCAGGATACCCGTGGGAGCTTTGTTTGTTGCTTGTGGAAAAAATAAACACTTATCTCAGATTGAATATATTCCTAGGAATGCAAAAAGTTCTAAAATGTTAACTTCAGCTCCTCGCGATTTGGCGTTTTTCCCCTACGGCTTGTTCAGCTCATCCTATAGGAGAGTCTTTGATCCAATGGCTAGGGTGCTCCAAACTGGGCAACTGATTTAAGATGATAGGTGGGTTGCACACAAGAACGTAACACTGGGTTGAGACTAAGGCATTTTATTAAGAAAATGCAAGAAATGCAAGAAATGCAAATATTCAACAGTCACAAATACATATCATGATCACAAGCAAGCAAGAGCAAGAATGGCGAATGCCTCGTTGATGGATGATGACCATCGGTGAGAGGCGCTGGGTAGTGACGTCATGATGACATGACATCACTATCCAACAGCAACTTCGGAAAATGAATCGGGACGCCCCCTACATTTGTTCCTTACCATCCAAATATGATACCTGCCAATTATTTTCGCTCTCCGACAATATTAAGACTTGAGGCTGAAAATCTCCAAAAAATTATCTTGATTTAAATGGGGGAAAATAGGCCGATCCGCGGTTTTTCGTTTTTCGGCTGTAAAATGCGCCAAAATAAAAATAACTTGATAATTTCCTACAAAAATACCTAGAAGCCTATTGTGAATGAGAAAATCACACTTTCGACCCATAGGGAGGGAGGGCAGGGTGTCACAGCGGAGCCGATTCTTAGGCGTCGGGGCGCCGCGCAGCCGCGTACGGTACAATGCGGCTAGGGTGATCCACTTTGGGCAACTTCGGAAAATGGACCGTGATGCTCCCTAAATGTGTTCCATCTGATCTAAAGACGATGCATGCCACGTATTCTTACTGTCTGATAATGTGACTAATAATGTTTCTGATAATGTGTGCGGGTGTGTCTGTGTATGTGACCCATCTTAGTGTGACTGTTTTTTGGGAAAATTGAAGAAAATAGTAAAAGAGACGAATATTATAAAACTTTGCAACGTATGCAGCCTCACTTGTGTTCGACGGGGCCTCTAAACGCCTTTTTTTGGCCTACGGGCCAAAATTTGTCACTGGGAGATAGGTCCTTATATTATCAGAAAGTAAAAATACGTGGCATCCATCGTTTTTGGATCGGATGGAACAAATTTAGGGAGCATCGCGGTCAATTTTGTGAAGTTGCCCAAAGTGGATCACCCTAGCCGCATTTCACCGTACGCGGTGGCGCGGCGCCCCGACGCCTATGAATCGGCTCCGCTGTGACCCCCTGCCCTCCCTCCCTATATGGGTCGAAAGTGTGATTATGTCATTCATTCTCCAGGTGATGCGCAATTACATTGATGCCCTCGCCGTGTCCTTTTGGGAGCTTTCTAGAATATTCTTTGACTTTTAGGAAAGTGTTGCAAGACGACGAGTGGCATTTGTTTCTGGAACTTTTTCGAATGTAATCAAAGTGGTAATGACAGGAATATTCACACAGTATATAATATGACAGTATATAATATAATATGACAGTAATATTGCGAAGCGTGTGATAATGGTGCAGGGGGCTTTTCCCCTCGATAGCCGTGGAGGGCGCGCTAATTGCTAGTATTCTTTTATTCATTAGCTTATGTTCAATCCAAATAAGTGCACAATTTTCAGTTTAAATTAAGTTTTACTTAAGTAAAATTGAAAAAACCCTAAATATCGGCCAAAAACGGCAACGATGAACCCTGAGGCCCTTGAAACCTCATCAGAGGCCTTTTTAAAGGTCAAAATTGAAAAGTTCGCAAAAAGATACACGAGAATGACATTGTAAGGCTCGTCGGTGGCAAGGGAGGGGGTGCGCAGACGACTCCGAGCGCCGGATTCCAATCGGCGCACAGTGGGACGAAAAGGTGTTAAAACGGGACATTCGCACATCAGACGATAATTTTTCGCCGATCTTCTCAAAACTTGACATTTTCAGTCTTTGTGGGAAAAGGAATCCAATGTTATGTTCAGAATTTGGTTTATTGTGACAATCCCGCCAAAAAATTGTGTTGCCAAGTCTCTGTTTTAATCTATTTGATAAACAGATTAGCATGATTATGGTAGAGATTTAACGCGCGTGTCGTTTGCTTTTTTTCATTGAAAAAGAAAATGAATTCACTGATCCTGAAATTGAGAAATGCTTCTATTAAGAATGAACACCCCCCCCCCACTATCTTCTTACCTATCGCAAAAACCGCAGCGATATTTGACTATAGGGGAATGAGTTCATCAATGGGCAGACATTAAAGTGAATCCGAAAATCATAAACGAATAAGTTGCTCCCAAATATTATCATTCTTTGACACAGATGCTGTTTTTTCCCCGTTTTCTTTTTTCAAGGACTTTTCTTCTTCCGTTTTTGAGCGTCACTTTCTGAAATCCTGATTATACGAAATATGCAACAGACACTCAAAAGTTTCAATCTTGAGATGCCAAGGCAAAATTCCATACTTCAGAAACTCCGAGCTTCTTAGGGGTCTTTTCTGCACTTCTGAAATATCGTTCATAAGAATGAGGATTTATTGCTACTTAATATATTGCAAATTTTCCCATCAAACATGGTGGAATACAAATCATGGGACACTGTCAAACCGTCTACTTTGGTTACAATTAAATTTTTAATGTCAGCCTCGATTCTAAGCACCGTTTCCATCACGACATCATCCAATTCTTGTTGTTGATTGCTCTACAAATTAAAAATAAAAAATCGGTCTACAAAAAAAGACGATATTGATCCGTATCCTAGATATCAGATGAGCATCGCAGCAAGCTGATAAGCAACGCGGCGGCGGCGCGGCGCGGTGGCCAGCAACATAGCCCGTTCAGGGACGAGTTCTATAGGACGCCGTTCTGTTGTGAGCGGGTGATTGCAGCGCATTCTCGCGTAGGATCCTAGTCAACTCAGAGGATCCTTCCCCCCGAACCTCGACTCATCCATCGCCCGCTCCAAAAGTGAGGTTAAGCCGGAGATTGAAAAATAACACATAAGGCGGCTGAATTCTTGAAAAATAGGTATATTTTTGGCGTTTTTCGACCCCTTTCGACTAGGGAGGGTTTGCCGCGTGTAATGGAATAGTGAAAAATTCGATTTTTTGCAGTTATACGCGATCCTACGGATTTTAATGAAGTCCAACAACTGATAACAGCAGTGAGTTGCGAGGATCCTACGCGAGAATGCAGCACTAGTACCTGCTCACGAATTTTTACATTGACTCTTACGGGAGTCCAGGGTCCTATAGAACTGGTCCCTGGCCCGTTGCACTCAACCTCAACCGTCAATTGGCCTGTGAAAGCGCTCGATTTTAAGCAAACCGCGCTCATGTTTTCCCTCGTAACTTCCAAAGTCGGAAGAAGTCGGATGAAAACTAATATGATTCTGAAAGCTAAGGATACGTAGAATCTCGATTTGCAAACCGTTTCTTGGACAAGTCTGGACATTTTTTTAAAACTCTAATTGAAGTTTGAATTTTAGTTTTTTGACAGGTCGATTTTGAATTCACTCTGTGACCCCCAGGAAGTAAAAAGTAATCATCACCAAAGACGTAAACGAATAGTCTATGTTTGTTTTCAATTGTTAAAACAAAAAATTGCATTTAAAATAATCTCGGAAGCTAGAGGAGCAAAATTTGTATACGTGCGCTTTTGCCTCTTTTTTTCATCTTACCGAAACACGCGTTTCTCTACGGCTGTCATTTGAATATTCCTCAATTAAATTGTTAAAATCTTCGTTATTCTGGAGGTTTAGACCCTCCAGGTAACTTCTACACCTTTGGTTCTTGCTTTTAATGATTTTCATTTTTACCGTGAATGTCCCGTTTCTGTAATGGGCTCGTCCCAATGTGCGGCGCGCGCCAAACGTAAATTTTGGTAGCTCATATTTCGCGTACAGATTTTTTTCGTGGGAGGTATAATACATCAAAATGTACGGAAAAGTACGACAAATAAAATGAACAGCGTTTTGTTCGAATCGAGAATCCGGCATTTGACGATACATTATGGTTGAAAAAATATTGGCCCCTTGAAATTTTGGGAAAAGGCGTATACTATACTGAGGAATGACATATTGAAAATTGGTCAAATCCACGGCTGGATTTTGCCGATTTTGCATGCACCCCTTTATTTCTGTGCAGGCATTTCGCTACATGTGTGCCTTTGATTTATAATCATTACCTATCAATTTTTGTCCACTCAGGGATACCACATTGTCTTGGATGAACTCACTGCTTGCCCACTTTGTAATTTTCCTGCTAAGCATGTAACTTTTACAGAGTAAGTTTATCCTGTTCTCTATCTTTCTACGTTTTTCCCTCTTCTATTTTGCTGCCATGTTTAACAGAAAATACTTACATCAAAGTACTCATAGTTGATGCAACTTTTCCCCGTATTAATTAAGTTCTGCTCAAAGTATTTTTTTTTCTAATTTCATTGTCAAAAGGATAGTGTGAACCATTGTCTTCTAGTCAACTGAATAAATACTGAATGTAGACTTACAATACAATCTTGACTGCGCACAAGGTTTGGCCTACAGTGAGAGAGGTCGGATTGGGGGTAAAAATGCTACTTCACAAGCAGTACAACCATTTATACATTTAGCACTCACATTGATTACCACTCATGGCTCGTATGTATACTCACACCTGTTCATTCAGGTAGCCATCGCTAAGTCAACCAATGATCTAGTTCTGCCGCAGTCCCAGTTGACTATCCATGGTTTGTATTTTATGTCTATGACACTTAGAGCTTAATATCTCCTGAGACAAGGATCCCACATCATTTAGACAGAAATGATCTTATAGACTTCATTTCTGCTCATAAAGGATCACATATACTTGCAATTCTCGTCATGTGTCCCTCAGCGACCAAGAATTAGGCAATTGAGATGTTGAAGGGAGGAGCAAAGAATCACTGCCTCAAGATTGTTCTTACAAAATGGGCATGGAGGTTTCTAGATCGTGTAGCAAGTAGTTAGAAACCGCCCAGCAACTTTTGTCTCTGGCGTTCACAACCACCCAGAGCTATGCATGGGTGCGTTCAGGAGCCGTTCTTAAAATACATAACGCTCAAGGGGAGGGAAGGAGGAAGTCTAGAAGATCATTATGCCATTTTGCATTTATGTGTCATAGAATAGGGTCCTACTTACCAAAAGCTGTAGGAGGGGTGAGGGAGGGTGATGAATCCGATATTAAGGGTTGAGTATTTTATGTGTCATAGAATAGGGTCCTACTTCCCAAAAGCTGTAGGAGGGGTGAGGGAGGGTGATAAATCCGATATTAAGAGTTGTATACAGGGTGGGCCAGAAGTTCCAGGACGGTCGGCTAACTTTTTAACGGTTCGAGATAGAAAAATGAAACTTTGGGAATGTTCCTATCTCAAAGGGGACCATCTTTTGGGGGAGTCAAAATTTTGGTCCCCCCTTAGGGAGGGGGCGGGGGGCCCCCAACTTTTTTTTTTCAAATAGCAACCCCTATCTTGTGATACCTCATTCGAAAGACCATAAAAAACTAAGAATTTTAGCGCAAACCGCAGATCAATATCTTAATTTTTGACCGAGTTATGATAGGATCAAAGGTCAAATTTGACCTATTTTCAAAAAATCACAACTCCGGTTCAAATTATCGTAAAGAAAAAAATAAAA